CTTCAGCTGAATGCCACCAGGCCCACCGAGCCGTGTCCCCAAGTGCCACATCTACTTGTTTTTTGAGAACAAGTCCAGGAATGGTGAGTCCACCACTGCCCTGGGCAGCCCCTTCCAGTGCTTGACCACCCTTTTGGTGATGAAACTTTCCCTAATATCCAAGCTGAACACCCCCTGGTACAATTTGAGGCCGTTTTCTCTTGTCCTGTCGCTCGTTCCCTGGGACCAGACCCCCGTTTGGTTCCACCCTCCCGTCAGGGAGTTGTAGACAGCGAGAAGGTCCCTCCTGAGCCTCCTTTTATCCCTCCTGAGACACGGGCGGGATCTTGGAAAACCCAAATCGCAGGGAGATGGCTGAAGAATGGGGAATTCTTGGAGGATTTCAATTTTTAAGCTGTAAAACGCTTCCCCCGAGCGGGCAGGACCCACCGGTGCCATCACTGCGCGCATCGCAGGATGCGCGGCCGGACGGGGCCGGGGGGGTTCAAGGCGACAAGGCTGAGCCTGGGGGGGGTCCCTCCCACCCACGAGGGGACCCACAAACCCTCCCTGACCTGCCTCTCGCTCCCGCCGCCGGGCCCGCAGCTCCTCCGCCCCGCGGCCGGCCCCGCGCCGGCCCCGCCGCCGGCCCCACATCGGGAACGAGGAGCAGGAGGAGGAGCAGGAGGAGGAGCAGGAGGAAAAGGCCGTTCTCGGGGCGGTCCCGGGGCGGGGAGATGCCGAACTCGGCCCCTCCCAGCCCGCCCCGGGCACGGAGAGCTGCGCATCGCCGGAGCTGGATGAGATGCCTGTGCTGAGGCCAAAAAAAGCCCAAAGATTGACCAGAAATGCCAACCAACGCGTCTCGGGGCCCCGGGATCTTCCACTGCGGTGGAGCAGAGGAACTCGTGCTTCCTTAGGAAGGCGTTGGCGGAATTCGCAGCTGGTGGAAATTAAAGGTACCAGCCCCGGCCAGAGCTGCCAGAGCTGCCAAAAGGGGCAGTGGCGGGAGCTCAGAGGGCAGCGGTGATTTTTCCACAGTACACACGGCAACAGTTTGATGGAATAATACAATGGTTTGGGATGGAAGAGACATTAAAGCTCATCTCATTCCACCCCCTGCCATGGGCAAGGGCACCTTCCACTAGTCCAGGTTGCTCCAACCTGGCCTTGGACACTTCCAGGGATGGGGCAGCCACAGCTTCTCTGGGCAATCTGTGTCACCCTCACAGGGAAGAATTTCTTCCCAATATCCCATCTATCCCTGCCCTCTGGCAGTGGGAAGCCATTCCCTGTGTCCTATCCCTCCATTCCTTGTCCCCAGTCCCTCTCCAGCTCTCCTGGAGCCTCTTTAGGCCCTGGAAGGGGCTCTCAGGTCTCCCTGGAGCCTTCTCTCCTCCAGGTGAACCCCCGCAGCTGTCCCATCCTGGCTGCAGAGCAGAGGAGCTGCAGCCCTTGGACCATCTCTGGGGCCTCCTCTGGACTCATTCCAGCAGCTCCACATCCTTCCTGTGCTGAGAAGCTTCATGTATCCCAAGGACAGAGAAGAGGAATCATGGAATTGCTGATCCCCTCTGCACAAGAGTGCCAGAGACCGTGGGACAGGCAGCTCCAACCCCAACTGTTGTGGCACTAATGTGTGATACCACACTGACAACAACAAACTGGGAACTGCATTGTCCAGCCATGCAATTTTGTTGCCTTCCTGAAGCTGTTTCTGAATCCAACACAGGCAGAGAAACCCCTGGGAAAGAAAAAAAATCCTGCGAGATCACAGAATCCAAGAATAACTGAGGTTGGCAAAGACCTCCAAGAGCATTGAGTCCAACCTTTGACTGATCGCCACCTTCTCAACCAGACCAGAGCACTGAGTACCACATCTTCTGGACCTTTCCAAGTGCCTGGTGGTCTGCACTCTTAACCCCTCGGAGCAGGCACAGTCACCAGCTGTCAGAGGAGCACGAGGCAAGTGATACGAGTTCTCTGGCCAAGCTGCCAGCTTGCCTTGGGTGAGGGAATGTCCCGTGCAGCGTTGGGCTGGTCCCATCCCCATCCTACGTGGAACAACCCTGGGGATGGTCTGGATGCCAGGTATGACAGTCCTGTACCCTTCTTCATTGCCAGGGGGCTTTGAGGCACAGCGATCCCAGAGCATCTGGAAGGAAAGGGCTGTTCCTGAGGCTGCCTTTGGTGAATCCCGACCACACTGGGCTCTGTCACCCTTCCTAGGAAAGCGAGCAGCGCTGGCACCCGGACCACAGCCCTGCCCAGCCCGCGGCCGCGGGGCAGCGAAGCAGAAGTGACTTGGGCGGCTCCTGCACGGCGCGTGGCTTCCCGTGGCACAGCCGGCGCTGTCCCGTCAGGAAGTCACGCCGGGGGAGCAGGGGCAGTGCCCGGGAGCCGGCCCCGAGGTGTCCGTCAGTCCCGACCGCGTGGATCGGCTGCGGGAGCGCCATCGGCGCTGGAACACCCCCGCGGGCACCGGGGGCTCACCCGGCCCGAGGCAGGGGAGGATCAGGTGCCGGAGAGAGTTGAGAACTTGAAGTCTTTGGCACCTCAGCCTTGGATTTGGCAGAGGTTAGAGGAAGCAGCCGTGAGGGAAGGAAGCGTTTCTGAGCCGGCTGGTGAGTCTGGACAAACCCACCCCTGATCCCGCTGTCTCCCAGCGTGAGGGGGGCTTGGTGCAGGTGCTGGAGGAGAGTTTCTCCCCAGGAGGGTGGTGCAGTCCCGCGACACAGAGGGGTAGGGAGAGATCCATCCTCGGAGGGTTTTGGGATGTGGCCAAAAAAAAGCTGTGGCTGATGAGGGCTGGTGCCGGCCACAGACCTGCTCGAAGCAGGAGGCTGTACCTGGGGACCCCTAAAGACCCCCCACCACTACTCAGCTGAGCCAGCACATTTTCAGGAGCCTTTAATCTTTGCTTGCTGCTTTTTTTGCCATGTGGTGACTAGACTGTCCCGTCAGCAGTGCCTGGTGCTGACAGGGACCTGTAGGGACCCTCAGAGGTCATTTTCCATCACCCCTTTTGGGGGCTGGTGAATCAAATCACTGGGTGAGAAGAGAGAAAACACGAAGCCCTCTGTTGCAATTTCCTGCCCCAGATTAGAGAGGAACAAACAGAGCTGGGGCTCTCCCCTCCTGTGGTCAGACTGACACATCTGGCTTCCCTGTCCCTAACTCGGCATTTCTAGTTTCTCCCCATTCCATGGCATTTCCTGGTCTCTTAGGGGCGGGAGCCTGCAGCAAGGCAGCCCGGGCAGGACAGTGCAGAGCTTCAGGAGCCACCCTGCTTTTTGGGTGGGATGGGAGCAGTGCCACCGGCTCCCTGGCACAGAGAGGGTGGCACAGGTGCAGCTCCTGGGTGTTGGCTGCCGGTCTGAGCTTTGCCCTGAGTCATGTAGCCACTCAGGTAGCCCTTGGTAGCCAGGTGGGGTGTGCAGGAGCAACGAGGACAGTGCCATGTCCCCAAGGGATGGCTCTGCAGGGCAGAACTTTCCCAAGCCAGGATGGGAGTCCAGCATGTCCCTTTAGCTGCTGTTCATCGTTTCCCCTCATTTTCAGGTTGTTCACCATGAGTGTGGCTGTTCTGCTCCTCCTGGGGCTGGGGCTGCTGGGGGCAGAGGGCAGAAGAAACAGGTGTTACTTCAAGCGCACTCAGGAGCGCTGTGTGTGCTACAACCTGTCCGAGGAGACCGTGGACAGCATCATCCAGTGCCTCGCAGCCACTGTGGTGGAGTTTCGGGGGGGAGACCTGGAGAAATACATAGACTTCCCCATCAGGAAGCTGGACAGCTCTGCCATTGAGATGCTGGGCTCCCTTATCATCGAGAAAGTAATTATTGCTGATGTGCTGGTGCCTGAGATCCTCCTGGCCCGTGTGTTGAGGTTCTTCTCCTACACCCACGTGAAGGAGCTGGTGTTTGACAGCTGTGTTTTCCAGGGCTCAGGTGACTGGCATGAAATGGATGGCCAGAGCTTGCCCATATTGTCCCTGAGCTTCAACAACGTGACATCTGCCCCGCTGATGGGCAATGAACAGGCCTTCTCCAGCCTGAGCACGTGGCTGGAGACCCTGCAGGAGCTGGCTGTCACCAGCTCCCATGTCACCAGCCTGCCCTGTGCCATTGGAAAGGTGTTCAGAGCTCTGCACACCCTGGACCTGGCACAAAACAGCCTCGGGGATGGGAGCCTGACACCTGCCTTCTGTCAGGGAGCTTTCCCTCAGCTCCGGGTGCTGAGTTTGCAGCACAATAACCTGACGTCCTACCACAGTGTGTGTGAAGGAGTGGAGCTGCTGCAGGGGCTCCAGAACCTCAATCTCAGCCAGAACAAGCTCATGGCAGACCCATCCTCCTCCTGCCAGTGGCCAGCATCCCTCCGGATCTTCAACCTGTCCCACACTGGCTTGGAGGAAGTGCTGACACCTCTGCCTCCCAACCTAGAGGTGCTGGACCTGAGCCACAACCACCTCCATGCCATGGACATCTCCCTCAGCTCCCTGAAGAAGCTCTTCCTGAGCCAAAACCTGCTGCAGGCTGTCCCCTCCATCAGGAATTACCCCCTGCTGGACACCCTCCACCTGGACAACAACTCCATCTCGGAGCTGCCGTGGGATGAGGTGACGCTCCTGGGGCGCCTGCGGGACGTGACTGCAGCCAACAACCCCTACAACTGCTCGTGCTCCGGGGCTGGGGGACTACAGGCACTGGCAGCCAAGGGGCACCTGGGGCAGGGCTGGCCCCAGGACTACACGTGCCAGTCCCCGCCGGGCTACCAGGGCTGGCGGGTGGCGGCCGTGCCGGTGTCGGTGCTGCGGTGTCACCGCGCCGCCGTGGTCGCCCCGCTCTGCGTGGCCCTGGCCCTGCTGGGCCTGGCAGGGATCCTCTGCCTGCTCAGGGCCAGGCCCTGCCACAGGGTGAGATGTTGGAGCCTTCCCACCCGTGCTTCCCGCTAGGAGCACCAAGGGAAGGCTCACAGGTCCCCCAAGTGAGGGGCTCTCTCGGTGTCCCCAGCCCAGGCTGCCCTGTGGAACATTATCCCACTGTGCCTTTGCCCAGCCAGGTTTTGGGGCACCCCTCACTCAAAGCCCTGTCCCAGGGCTGTAGCCTCCCTTGTGGCCAACTCCAGCTCCCCAAGCCCAAACAACGCCCCCACTGCCCCTGTGATGTCACCTGCCCTAGATAAGAAGAATTCAGCTCCATCATATCCCCACTGGTGGCACTCAGATGCCCCAAACCTCTCTGGGGTCTGGTGCCCCCACAACACCTTGTAGCCCCCTCATCCAGCCATCCTTGGAGCCTCTATGGCCCCTCTGCTGGTCCTCCCTCTCCTCACCTGGGGCTGTGCCTGGGCCAGAATGTTTGGGAGGACTCTGCTTACCTGCTCTTCAGCACAAGAGAAAACCCACAAAGACAGAAAAATTTCTAAATTAAACACACAAATGCCAACGAGGAGGAGCAGCCAAGACCTGAGCTCTGGAGGCACTGGTGGACAAGTCTCTCTGGCGTGACCATGAGGACATTCAACCAGAAACTTTTTGTGATAAGAGGAAAATGGGTTTATTTTGGGTTATGCAGAGAATATCTCATAGTAAGGGGAAAATTTATCATGGGATTCTGAGGGAGAGCAGGGGAATGCAGGGCAGTGGGGAATGCTTATGGCAAGGATCAAAAGGAGGGGGTGGGTGGGGAAGGGGAAGGCGTGGGGAAATGGGGACTGGGGGAAATCATAGAATCACAGGACGGTTTGGGTTGGAAGGGACAATAAAGTTCATCTCATTCCACCCCTGCCATGGGCAGGGACACCTTCCACTAGCCCAGGTTGCTCCAAGCCCTGTCCAACCTGGCCTTGGACACTTCCAGGGATGGGGTAGCCACAGCTTCTCTGGAAAACCTGTGCCAGGGTCTCCCCACCCTCATAGGGAAGAATTCCTTCCCAATATCCCATCTAACCCTGCCCTCTGCCAGTGGAAGCCATTCCTCCCTGTCCTGTCCCTCCAGC